ACAAGGCACCCTGTGATATCCTCACGTTCTCCGTGGCTGATGGTCTTAACTGGATTTCCCAGAGTTACCTTTATTAGGCCCCCAAGACACCAGGGTTTTAGGATTAGGAAAGCGTCTTGTGTTGTGAACCACAGTATAAACATACTTACTGGACCCAGTTTACACAGTGTCATTTATAGACCACCTGCAGCAGATTGATCTGAAACTGACATGCTTGTTTAAATTGGAGGTTAAGGGTCCTCTCCCCAGACCTATTAAATAATACAGTCTAAGACTAAAACATGTTTTGCTTTTTATTTTTCATTAGGAAACTGTCCAACATAGAGAAAATAATGTAATAAACTCTACATACTCATTATTCAGCTTCAAAAATTATTAGCTCATCGTCAACCTTGTTTCACCTACATTTTAAAGCAAAAACTAGACATCATATCATTTGAATGTTTTCTATATGTATCTACACAACATAACCACTGGGCTTGAGAACCCGTGTTATTCTCTTTTTGATTATGGATTTATACATTCTATTTTGAATCAATGAGTGGTATGGGCCTCAGGACAGGATATAAATATATATGCAGATGTTCCATTATGAATCACATTTCCCTTAAATATTTGATATAGATATTTGCACCTATATTTACTTAGTAACATCAAGTTGAAGTATCTGTAATCTCCTCCTGCTAACAATATACTTCATTTCATTTGTTTTTACATCCTTCCTTCTTTCTTCTCCCATGTATGTTGAAATTGCTGGAATGGAAGTGAATGTATGGTAGTCACTCCTTTGCTCTTTTAAGTCTTTTTTTCCCTAAAGGTTACATTAAACTTGATAATCTCATAACTAAATTATTTAGATTTTATGTAATTTTACTGTTTGCTTCACTTATAACTAATTCTTGTGATCATAGAATGTAAATATATCTCGTGTAGTATGCTCTTTCCTTCTTGGGCTCTCTATTCTGACATGCATTTTTATTTGTCTGTTTGGAGAATTTCCTTAGGTTTTATGCAGGAGAGAGTGCATGAATAGCGTGTCTTCTGAGTCATTGATGGCTGAAAATGCCTTTCCTTTCCTCCTGTGATTGTGGCTGTGGAATTCTAGGACTACAGTCTCCTTGCCTTGGATCTGGTGGGGTCTCAGGGCATCTGCCTGTGGTTACTGCTGCAGTCATATTTCTCACTCGTATCCCCTGTTTTAAACATCTCACTGAGCGATGGAGTAAGTTGCCTCTTGCATTAATTTGTTATATGTCAAGAGCCATTTATTCTGATGGCTCAGCTTGGTTAGTCTCTTTTAAGTTGCTAATTTGTCCCATGTATCCCCTGACTTTTCTTCAGTTGTCAGTTTATGTGTCCTCTCTGGCCCTTCGCAATTTAGCAGGGCAACCGCCCTTCCCTTGTTCATTCGCAGTGTATGGGTCAAGCTTTTCACTCATTGGACAATAATATTTGCCATTTCAAAGTAAATCCTTACTGTGCAGGGATCCCTTAGAATTGTAGGTGTCCAGCTGGGATGTCTGCTGGGTTAGAAGTGTCACGATATGTTGTATCTGGTGTCCAGGGATGCTACTGCTATACATTACATCATATGGCTGGGGCTAACAGTACGTTATGTCCTGTGGCTGGTGGAAGAGGGTTCTGATGATCAGGGTAATTGCGGGGCATCCATGCCACATCTTCCCTGGGAGGATGCACTCCGAGGCATCTCTGGGTAGTTTCATGCACAGTCACTCGCGAGCAGCAGCACCTCCCTGATCTGGATCAGACTTGGGTTACCATTTGTCTCCTTTTAGCCCTGAATCTCCATCTGCTTATTCTCTTGAGCTTTGGACAAAAGGACCAATTAGAAAAAAAAATTCCTGTTCTTTAGAAAAATTATCTTTAGAATAATAATTTTGAATGTCACTAATTTTTATAATTTTTACTATGAAATATACCATGAAAGCCAAAGAGTATACATAGTGAATACATGTAGTTTAAAGATCAACAATAAAATGAATAGCCATGTACCTACCACCTTACTGAAGAAATAATTTCTGTTCTCCTAATAAAGCTATGTTGTGATTCTAAGTGGATTCTTCCTCTTCCTTTCCTGAGGTCGTGAGGTCTGAAGTAGGTAGTATGTATGGCCTTAGTGACTCCATAACAATTTTCTCAGCACTTCTGTCTGAAAAATGAGAGAAAAGTACAGACATACTGTGTAGAGAGCCCCCTGAGCTGCTTGCAAAAAGAAGTCCAGATGATCATGCTCAGTGGTTGGCGTAGCTATGTAGGTCACCATGGTTTCTCTTGGGAGGTGTTCCCTGGCCCACTGCTAACCCACGTGGCACCTTTCTGTGAATAAGAAAAAGCCACTCTAGCCCGACCGGTGCTGCTCAGTGGTTGAGTGTTGACTTATGAACAAGGAAGTCACAGTTCGATTCCCAGTCAGGCCACATGCCCAGGTTGAGGGCTCGATCCCCAGTAGGGGGGCATGCAGGAGGCAGCTGGTCAATGATTCTCTCTCATCATTGATGTTTCTGTCTCCCTCTCTCCTTCTCTCTTCCTCTCTGAAATCAATAAAAATAAAAATTTAAAAAATAATAGAAAAGAGAAGAAAAGCCACTCTTGCAATTTGCCAAAAACTTTCTGTAACAACTCTATACACGAAAATGTATAACTCTGAATGTGATTAGCGCCTCCTGGAGTTTACCAGCCACACTGCAAGTCATGGTAAACACAGGAGGTAGCTACAGGATTCCTAGTGGGCTTCATCAAACTTTCACCTCCTGTGCCTACTATGTGCCAGGCGCTCTTTTAGATGCTGAGTAGACAGACGAGTTATCTGCTCTCATGGGTCCCCCATGACTGGACTTGAGAGCAAGCTGTTTTTTTGGGTGCATGAGCTGGGAGTCAACTAACAAGCTGGAGTTGTTCTTGATCTGGATCAGGACCCTGTGATGTCCAGCCAAGGTGAGCCTAGGCTTTCATTTATTTAGCATGGTTTCTATGCTGTGTGAGCCCTGAGGGGCCATGCTGTACCGAGCTGATGAGTTCAGAGTTCAGGTGGGATTCTTAAATCCAGAGTGACCAGATGACCTGCTTTTCCCTGGACAGTCCTGGGAGAAGTCTCTTGTCCCATAGGATTATTTATATCGCCTCTTTTCCCTCTTAAAAGTGTCCCAACCCTGGACAATAAATTATAGGGTCATGTATACTAGTCAACTTCCTGCCATGGTAACAAACACCTTCAAAATCTTAGTGACTTAAAACATCAGCTGCTCAGCTGCAGCCTCTGCCCCACCTGAGGGTCAGGTTTCAGTTTCCTGCTCATTCTGGATTTTGCGCCTCTGCCCCAGCCATCCTATGATGGCACCCAGGCTGGAAGACCAGCCCTTACATGAGGTCTGAGGTGGCATGGGCCATATCTACTCATATTTCACTGACTAGAGCAAGTCAGGGGGCCAAGACCAACATCGGGGCCTTGGGGTTCATCCTCCTCCCTAGGAGGGAGGGGTGCTGTGGTGGGGAAGAGTGAATATTGAGTGGATGATAGTACAGCTGACCCTACTGCCTTCCCGAGTACCCCTCCTCAAGCCATCCTGGGGGTCTCCTGTCGGTGCCTGCATCAGGACAGTGCCAGAGTTATTAAGGAAGGGGTTTTACTTCCACTTGGATTACAGACTGTATTACGGGATTTCACTGGGGTGTGAAGCCTGTTTTGTGTTTGGATTTGATTAGAGGGAGTGGGGGTTGATTGCTGTGACAGCCTGATTATCTGGGATGGGGCCTCCTTCCCTGTGCTTCCACAACTACCACCTATCATAGAAGTTATACCAACACATTTTCACTCCTGTGTGAGCTGGCAGGCCAGGGGGAGCCTGTGGCCAAACCATGCTCCCCTACCACCTGTCTGGGCTCTATCGTGGGTGACTTCTAGTGCCCTTTACGTTGCCTCACTGACTACCTATTTCTCATCCCTGCCCTTGTTGCTCTGCATCTGAGTTTTTTTGTCTGTTTGTTTACTTGTGTTTTTTTAGAGAGAAAGGAGAGGGAGGGAAGGAGGGAGAGAGAGAGACATACACACACACATCAAGGGTGAGAATCATTGATTGGCTGCCTCCTGTACATCCCATACTGAGGATGGAGCCCACAATCCTGGGCATCTGTCCAACCAGGAATCGAACCATGACCTCCCCTAGTTCATAGGTTGATGCTCAACCACTATGCCATACTGGCTGTGCCTGCATCTGTGTTTTTTAATTTTTGCTTTTCTCTCTGTGTCCTGTGTTTTCATTTGCCTTTGTTCAGCATGCAGCACTAATTGGCTTTTCCTTTAAAAGCAATTACAGAAATTCTTCAGTGTTACTGGTTCACGGATGGATTTATGGTACCCATCCTTGTTTTTCATTGTTACGTAAGTTGCTCATCTCATTCCCATGGGACTGAAAAACAGAAAAGCAGCAAAGATTTGAGCTCATTACCCATGTTGAAGTTGGAACCCCAGAGTTTTCAAACAGAGATGTGAATGTTGTTTCACTACTAGGGCAAAGATTGATTGGGAGTCATAGAGGAGATACAGCAGATCCATCACCAGCCCTGGCAGCTGGCTCTCTGTCAAGAGCAATTTTTCATGAAGAAACGGTTTCATCATTTTATAACAATGATCAGGTACCTTATTGCAAAGCACATGGGTACCAGGAGGTCAGCTTGATTCAGAAGGTCAGTGGTTTGCAGGAAGGGTTCATTTGCATGCCTAAACAGACTGTCATGGATCATGGATTGCTAATGTGCTGTGGGTAGTTAAATTCGTGAATATTGCCCGGCCACTGTGGCTCAATGATTGAACATCAGCCTATGAACTATGAGGTCACAGTTTCCAATCAGGGTACATGCCTGGGTTTCAGACTCCATTCCCAGTAGGGCATGTGCAGGAGGCAGGCAATCAATGAGAATCATCTCTGATGTTTCTATCTCTCTCCTTCTCTCTCTTCCTCTCTGAAATCAATTAAAAAATTGTGAATATTAAATAATCAATTCCTAATTTTCTTCTTTACTATTGTATCTCCAAAGCCTAGCACAGTGCCTGGCATGTATAATGATTGAGAAAACTTTGGCTAACACAGTGTGAATATTACTGATGGGCAATAAAGGTATAACCCAGGGAGAGTCCTTGTAGCACAGTAAGGGCAGTAGGGGAGTCCTTTAAAGGAAGGGGTTACAGTGCCAGGACTGACTCAGGTTGACACCTCAGACTCCTTGGCTCCACTAGAAGGTGGGGCGGAAGCATGGAGGGAGTTGGGCTTTGTTCTGAGAGTTAAAAGCTCAGCCACTAGATTCCACACTGTCATGGACCCTAGCTGAGGCCATGGCGCCACAGTCTACGTGGCAGATGCTGTTATTGCCCTGCCATATCCCCTCACACTCACCCTCACCACCCGAGCACATGCCCCCTGCCCTCCAAAGGCCAGCCTTTGTGTTATTTGAATGTGTGATTTTCCCGGCCACTGCAGCTTACTTTGCCACCCATGCTGCAGGTTGGAAATGCCCCCTGAGAACTTCCCTCAAATCAGTGACTGAAGGGAGCCAATGTTACAAATGGCCCAAGTCCCTGGTCCCTGGCACAGGGAGACTCCCAGTGTGTGGAGCCTCCTCAGCAGGCTCACCCTCCAGTCCCCCGTGGTGGTAACTGGCTTGATAAAGCCCCCTTTACTTCTGGCTTCCTTCCCTGGATCACTGTCCTTTTCCCCTCGCTGTGTTATCTTCATCTCAGCACACCACTTGCCCTTGAATACTTGTCTCAGGTCTGCTACCAGGGAAGTCCAAACGGGGAGCACTGTCCCTGGTCCTGGGCACCCTGACCGCTGGGAAGTGGGTATTCCTGAGGCTTCAGAGGGCTTGAGCTTCATTTTGCCAAGACCCTTAAAAGTTGATATCAAGAATAGGGAAAAAGCACTCTAGTTTTTTGTTTTGTTTTGTTTTATAAAGTCGTACTTATACAATTCACAAGTGATATTATCCAGCTCTCTGAGATGACAGAAGAATTGTTTTTGTTTTTTTATTGTTGACACTATTACAGATGTCCTACATTTTCCCCCTCCCCCGTTTGCCCATCTCCACCCAGCCCTGCCACCCCTTCCCTGGCCTTCACCACTCTGTTTTGTGTGTCCACAGGCTATGTATATATGTTCTTTGGATACTCTCTTCACTGTCTTTTATCCAGTCCACCCTCCCCTTCCCCTCTGAGATGACAGAGTAATTTTTAAGGACAATGAAAACGCCATGCTCATCTAGTATCAATGATTTGTGTTGCCGCGGGAAAGTGTAAATAGTAATGCAGTTATGGTTGACTTGCAGGGCCTTTCTAGGCCCCCTGGATATACCCTGTCTCTTGCTGCAGCAACCTGTTTCTTGTTTCTAAGCACGGCCTGCATGTTACTTCCTCAGCAGGCTGCTGAGGGGTGGATGGGTGGCAGGGCCATTTGACCTGCCCAGTGCAATGGCAGGGTGGCAGGTGACAATCATACTGACCTTTAATCTCTGCTTCTTTGCAGATATCTCGGTGAGCCTGCTGACCCTTCTCGTCACCGCCTGTGGCCTCGCTCTCTTTGGTGTGTCTCTCTTCGTGTCTTGGAAACTCTGCTGGGTTCCGTGGCGAGAACGAGGCCTGTTCTCTGGGAGCAAAGACAACAACCAGGAGCCTCTTAACTATACGGACACAGACATCAATGAGCAGGAGAACAGTGAGGGCTTCCTAGACCCTCCCAGCCCCTCCTCCATGAAGATCAGCCACACCTCCCCGGACATCCCCCTCTCCACCCAGACGGGGGTCCAGGAGAACTGTGCCCACGGCGTCCGCGTGAAGCGCCAAGTCACAGAGCCAACCTCTTCGACTCGGTCAGTAAGGCCTCCTTCCCTTCTAAATGCAAAGCAGGGACCATCCACTCCTTCCCCTCTCTTGGCAGCAGTGACATTGAGTCACCGAGGAGCCTGTGACCTTTCACATGTCCATTCGCTGTCACAGACGTGAATACGGGAACTCGGTGCTGCTCAGTGTATTGCACTGAGGTTCCTGAGCTCCGCGCCATCTCTGCTTGGTCCACAATAACATTTATTTAGTTAGCGTGACTAAGACTTACTCTGTCAGGTACCATCTAAGAACTTCATCCGCACTATTGCATTATGGCTCACAACTTTGTGGGACATAGATCCTATTATCATTTTCATTTCACAGAAGAAACTTAATTCAAGCAGATGAAGTAACAAAGTTATATCTTGGTAGGCACCTAGGTCAGGGTTTGAACTGGGTTCAATCACCATCAGAGCCTGAGTGTTTACCACTCCCAGTGCCAGGGTGTTTCTTCCCTTGCCTCGGACCTAGCCTAGCCGGCACGCAACGGCTCTCTGCACTCCAGACTGGCCAGAGGTCTTGGTCCATCTCCAGCCTCTGCAAGGCCTGCGGAGTGCCCAGACCTAGGGCCCCTCTCTGTGTGGCTGGACACTCTGTGCCCTTTGGCAGTGGAGGAATAGTATACTGCAGTCATAAAAGCAAGCGTCTGGGGCCCAGGGAACTGGCTTTACTTAGACATGCGATATTGGACACCTTAATCTCCGGGTTATTTCCTCTTCTGTAAGAGAGAAAGAGTGACAGCAGACGTATGGGTGGTTTTAAGAATGAAACAACAGCGTGGACATCCTGTGCTTTTCCAGGCCTCTACCTGTAACTACTCCAAAACGTGAGCTGCCCGTCTGCTCTCAGGGCTGCTGTTCACAGCATCATTATCCTGGAGGCGGACCTCTCCCAAGACTCAGATGTTGCATAAAGGTGGCTTTGAGGTCAAACAGCCAGTTCTGAATCTTTGGATATAAAAATTCACTTTCAATAAGAGACTAGAGGAAAAGAGACTTGGGAAGCAGCTTTTTTAAAAAATGAGAATAATTGCTTGAGCAATAGCCAGAGCTGAAAATCGTGTGCTGTTATTTAGAAAGTCGGAGCACAATTTGGGAGGATTTTTTAAAAAAATCTTTTTTATTTGTTCTCTAGAAACAGCAATAAGATTTTACCCTTTTAAATGTTAATCGAGTATATCCTGGAAGCTCTGCTCATTCACATTAAGTAGGATGGAATATGACAGTTTGTAATTTAATTTTTTCAGAAACCCACTTTAGCATCATTTCCAATTCTGAGTCAAAGAGCTAAACCTAAGCTGTTCCTCTGCGAGGAAAGGGGTGGTTGTTTGCCTTTCAGTTTAGAAGAAATCCTCGGATTCTATTGCTAGGATTTCTCTTCAGCTTTAACACTTAAGTATAACTGGAGCTCCTCGATGGTGCTATGGGGCTCACACAGCGGTACAGACTCATAACAAAATCTCAGTATTCCAATAACTGGGGCCTGTCAGAGGGGGTTCCCATTGAAACTCTCCTGTTTGGTTTTACTCTGCGTATTAATTGTTCTGATCTGGGTCCCCTCGACACAGGATGATGTGCTGGGTTTTTATTAGATTGTAGATCTGAGGACTCTGCCATCATTCTGATGAATTGATAGCAACCACATCACTCTGATTACCACAGTATTTATTCTAGAAAAGTGTGTAAGGGCTCTGCATATCAAAAAGAGATTGTATTTAAAAATAAAAGCTATAGATATCTTCACCACTGATTTGTAGACATTAGCTAGAAGGAAAAAAATAAGTAAAAATAGAAGAGAGACGGAATTATTCCTGTAAAATATATTTTACTGCATTTAGATTGATTTTTGTTTTGGAGTCATGCAATTAAATTACCTTTCTGACGGCCAAAACAAGCTTAGTTCTATCTGAACTACTATCGGAAAACTAAACTCTTTCCATCTGCATATGACCTAATACTGATAATGCGCATCATTATGCATTTAAAATACTTACCTAAATTACCACTGAACTCCTTTTATGAGTTTTGTCTGGAAACACACATCTTTGCTGATGGTATTACTGTAAGAATGGTGTATGGTCTTGTAATTCTCTAGGAATTGTGTTATATTATAAACACACACAGTGACAAAATGGGGGAAATTAGTAAAATGTCCTTCATGCTCCAAAACATTTTTAACACCTTTTTTTTAAGTCACATTTTTGATACCCTATTTGGGGAGGGGGAAGGTACTCTTTGCCGAGATGACGCTAAGTAGTCTGCTCTGCTAGTTACTGTTTCTTCTCCCTTCTTTCTCCTGTGTTCTTTACCTTCTCACTGCGGCACTTCCTGTCTTACTGCTTCCTTCCTGCGGCTGTTACCACTTGTCCCCAAATTCCCAGGACACCTCCTTGGCCTAGACTGGTGGTTAAGGGTATTGCAGTTGGCATGGGTTCTCTCACAGCATTTCCATCAGAAACTCCCCTCCCTCCTGCCGCCACGCACACATGCATGCACACACACACACACATGCACACACACGCACACCACACACACCACACACACACACATACCACACACCACACACCACACACACACCACACACACCACACACACACACCACACACCAACACACATACACACAACACGCACACACAATCACACACACACTCAAA